ATTATTTATAAATTAAAATATCTAATTCATTTAATAAGAACTAATAACTAATAGTTATTTGAAAAAAACTAAACCTTTTTGAATTTAGAGTATTTAAACACCACTGTAGCCTAAATAAAAATTAAAATTTATTTAATTTATTGTTCAATTAAAATAATTTACATGATAATAATAATATAATTACTATTAATTTTTATTATTTTTAATATCAATTAATATTAAAAAATATTAATTATACCCAAAAATACTCTTTAAAAAATTCTTAAATTAATTGTAACACACAGCCTATGCACTGAGTTCAGTATTCACTAATTAGTAGTAATAATTGTTCGGTTTTTTAACACCTTTTTTGCACAGGTTAAATATTTTTTTATTTTATTACAAAATATTAAAAAATAACTTTATTTTTTCGACCATTCAATTAAAATTATACACTTGTAACTTGTGTTCAAAATAACATTAACGAGAAAAATATGCAATAAATATAACTTGTGTACGCAAATTAGACATACTCGTAATCGTTAAATACTTATCTTATTAAACTTAACAACTTATAGTTGTTCATTTGTAACTAATCCAAAAAACACCTACCCCTTCAGATTTAGATACACTACTAATAATAGTACTACTAAATAAAAGTGTGGTTATATCGTAAGTGCACGCAAGCCTTGTGTTTATGATTGTGCAACCGTGTCTGTGGTGTGTTCTAAAAAACATGTATCAGTGCATTGTTGATGTGTTGCTCGTTCAGCGAGCGTGCGTGTTTAATTGCAAAATAAAGGGCAAGCAAGGAACAGAATAAGAGATTGATCACATTCTATTAAAAATGCTGAACCTGAAACTGATGATTGGATGAATCAAGATCCAGCTTTTGAACAAGATTTTATGGTAACATAAATGATGAAGCACAGGTCCTAATGGATCTCAATGGGAAATTCTTCAATGAAACTTTACCGTTACAACAAAAACGATACAACAACAACACAGACTGGATAACCTCGAGACAAAGACCGATGCTGCCTCTCTATATCTTTCACAGGGTTCTCTATGAAAGAAAATCTTGAAAACAGCTCTGGAAACCTTATAGTTCATCCTGCATAATCAGAATGGAGAAGTTATCAATTGACAGTAAGACTGAAATATGCCTCTTAATAGCAGGTTTCAATCGCGATCATTTTTATTAAAACAAAGAAAGGTTGATCCAAAAGCAGTTAATTAAATCTCAGGGAGAATGAAAAGGCACGCAAGAAGAACTTACATGGTAATCCATGTAGTCATGGGGGTCATGCTGCAAAACAGAAAAATTTAAACTTCATTTTCTTGTTTCAATAAAAGAACACACCATACATCACAGTCACTCAAAATAAAATAAAATAGAATAAAATAAAACATCATGGTCATTCAAATCACAATTCCACAGTTTTTACGCGTTACGCCCACTCTATAACTAAGAGCTTACAGTGAACGTCACACATAAATGTAGAGTCACACATCAAAATTAACAACAATGTGCTTCCCATGTGAGGATTATAAGGGGAAAAAAGAATCATGCCCTGAAATTATTTCTTCAAGTCACAACTCCATTCATTTGCTTGTTCCTTGTTCCGTTGCCAAATGTGGAAAAACCCATAACCTTCATCTATAGATTTGTGTTCTTTTCATAAATGCCAGCTATGTGTGCTTGGTGCTCCTGCATGTGTCATTGCTTGACTCAACTCCTTAAGCTAATCTATCTATCAGCAGTATCATTCACAGTAACCTATAAATGCTTTCTTCCAAGCCATTCAAGTGTGCTTGTAGACATGACATATCATTTGTTTCCAAAGTAATAAATACATTCCTAATAATACAAATTGTTTAGATGTTTCAAAGAAGAAGCTTGGTGCCTAGGTCTAAAAAATTTGACTTAATCCATCTTAAAGCAAAGTAAATGGCTTATTAATTTCAGAGAAGCAATTAGACATATTTGGCACACAGGAAGCCATTGGTATTTGCAATGATTAATTGAATTCCAAAATCAAAGCACTAAGGAACAAAATACATAAAACAAATGTTTTGCGAAAGGATAGAAGAGAAAATATACAGTACCCTTCTTCGGCCCCTCCTCTCTTTTCTCCTTTTTTCACTGTCCTCTTTGGCTCTATTACCTTCCTGCAGAAAGAGTCATTCAAAGAACTTAACCAATTTTTTATTAGAAATACTGGAGATAATTGCAAAATCCCAGCACTAATAATCACCTCTTCTTCCCGAGCTCTTCTCTCTTTTTCTGCTTCTTCAAATGCCTCTTTTTCAACCTGAAAGTTGACATGTAAATTATTAATTCCTAAAACACTTCTCCTTGCTCAAAAATTAAAAAAAAAAAATCTAAAACACTTCAAATTGACAGTAAATATAAACTTTTAAGGGCGACCTCTCACCTCCTTGTTCTTGGCCCAAATATCTTCTACAACTTGTCTAGCATACTCTGGGTCATCACAAATCAAGATGTTGTCATAAACTGAACCTGCCTTTACCTGCAATGTGAAAATCAATCACCTTACTTTGGCCACAAATAAAAATGATCATTTCATTTTTTCAGTCAAGATCATTTTTTCAGTCATGTAGTATTTTAGAAGGGTTGGCCAAAAAAAAAAGGTATTTTAGAAGGTTTTAAATTCAAGCTGGCTTCAAGTCTGCTTAGAAGATTAAGGCGGTGGCTAGATTACTGCCAATCAGACAGGTAGAAATCTAATCTCCGCTGGAAAAGAAGAGAAAACAAATGCAGGCAAAACATGGCAAAATACTAACCCAAAAAAATAAATTTTGCAGAATTGGTCTCAATTGAGAGTACATTGCTACCATAATGAATTAATTTCCAAAAAATTGTGGATGGTAATTGCAAGGAACAAATCAAGAGAATAATGGCTTAAATGGTTTCAAACCAGGCAGCTGCCGAATAGACTAGGACTGTATCCAGCATGAAAGATGATTTGATATGAGCGCTAAAAACAGAAAAAGTGCTACACCTAGACAAAATATTATGAGTCGAAGATCTGAGGAAAGAAGACTTGATGCTTAATCATCTAAGAAAGAGCCTAGCCTTAAACTTGATGGGATCAAGGAAAATGTTCAGAGTGCACAGCCTTCACTAATTATTATTATTATTATTATTTTGGTAATTACTGTTAAGATGTCCTTAGACCAGCTTTTGCACATCTCAAAACTAATCTCTCCTCGGGCGATCTTAATGGTGCACCCCTACATTGACCTGGTGCATTCACTCATTTTTTATTAGAACATAATTCAGTTCAGAACCATACATGTTCTTGATCAGCATGTTGCAGTAATATATTCTGCTGACTAGATCTAAAAAAAGGGAATGCAGGTGTGGTCATGTTGTGAAAAGTCAAATGTGAGTCATCCTTTTATTTATTTTATAGAATGTAAGGCTCTATAATTGACCTCTATTAGAATAACAGAAATAGTATATTATTTACCTGCCAGACTTCAATGCCCACATATTTTATGGGCTTCAGCACATAAAGATCCGGATCATCTTCAAACTCTGAGGTCAAGAAGGAGAAAAGATGAAGCAATGTCAAAACAGAAAGATTTGACAGCAAATCTTCCAATTAGGTTTAAGAAAGAAATAGATGATGACACATACATAGACACCAAAAAAAAAAAAAAAAGAGTAAGTTGTTCTAAAGAAAAAAAGTAACTTAAACATCTGCACCACAACTTGGAGGCATTATTATTATTTTTTTAAAGAAATATTTAATCCCAACATCAATTTCAAGCTATGACTGGACTAATTGAGCATAGTAACTCAGCACATGAGTGACCTCATAGCCCATCCAAAATTTAAAGGCACTACATATAAGCGTTCTGAAGAATCACCACACTTGAATCCATAAGTTCTGGTTTCAACACATAATCAAGCTATCAAACCATTTTGACCTGTTGAAAGAAATGTACCTGGGTTATCAATCCAAGGAGTCTTCCACTTTCCCTTATAGTTGGGGTTCTTGACTTTCTGCAGTAAAAGGAAACATTCACAAAAATTAGAACAGCAGCAGAGGAATCTGATTTGTTTTTTCTACGCGAGACTTGAAAGCACCTTACGCTTCCATGGTCCTTTGTATTTTGGATTTGGGATCTTAGGTGGCCTCCATATACCATTCTCTTCGTCATCCCAGTCATCAGGCTAAAGGAAACAAGACATAGCAATTAAATAATGAGCACCTTCTTAACACACATCAACTAATAGATATGAAGATAAATCAATGATTTATTAATATCAAATAAAGAAAACAAAATATAGAAACATATAAATGTGTGATTAATGATATTATAATATGGTCGACAAAACAAATCCATTGTTGGCAGTGGTTAAGTCAGTAGTGGATCAAGGAAAAAAAAAAGGGTCAGATGTATAAATGTTTAGTGGCATGCCTCTTTGGCTTTTGGATCAGGAATCTCAGCTGGAATTGAATCATATCCCTGCAGCATAAAGGCCAGAAAGAGTAAAGCCATTAGCTTACATGGAAAATGACAAGAGTTGCAGTACAAACAGACAAACAGAAAGAGTATCATACCTCAGGTTTGACATCATTAGGATCATCAATATACTCTCTATCCTCCCAGTCTGCTGGCTGTAAAAAGAATACAAGGAACTTTCAGATAGCTAGATAAAAACCTCAATTTCTAAATTACTTTTGAATAAAGGTTCTTTAACTTTTAATTTCAAATTCTTGAATGAATAAACATGACCTTTCAGCACTATATCTTATGATTTATGTCACTCAGCATGCCTACAACATTATTCAAAATTTCATGAAAACGCATACCCTTTTTGCCTTAACATCCTTGATTTTTCTTGGAGGAAGGATATCCCAGTCTGTATATAGGCTTCCAGATTCTCTTTCTCTATTATCAACTAAGATGCTATAAGAGGCATCAGGCCTAAGAATAAATGTGTAGAAGTGAGTTAGTTTGTCTGTTTCACATTGTATATCCTTCTTGTTGGGATAATTCTGCCCCTGGTAGGAAACTATAGCATGGAGCTTTTTGGTCTGTGAGCCGCAAATATCTGGTCCAAACATCAAACTGCATCAAGGAAAAAAATTAATTGGAGTCACTCATCACTTTGAAACGAAATCAACAATTGATCATGAGGATGACACACAACAAAACACTTCCATTTGACATAAAGAATAAGCAATGATTTAGGATCCTCATCCATGTACGAAAGATGCAGGGATTAGTATACAACATATGTCCAAATTATTCCTTATACATCATCATCAGGAACAAAGTAGTTAAAAAGACAAGTTCATGATAATGAATAAAAGATCCAGTAAACTATCAAATTTTTAAAACAATTAAAAGGCAAAATGATAAAAGCCAGGCTTTTCAATATCAACACCCATTCAAATGTTACTCCCACATAACCTAAGGCATATATAATGAAGTTTATCAGTAAATACCATGAAATAAAAAGTTTTACAGACCTGTAAGGGGTGTCACCACCAAATTTCTTCTGATTAACATAACCAGAAAGAAGCTTAATATAACCACCACCACATTCAATATCTTGCTCCAACTTAATAGAATACTGCAGCACTAGAGTTCTGTCCTTGTTGCTAAACTCTGGTATCTTGGCAGATATAGCATAATGTTTAGCATCATTATATGTCTGAATACCTGCAAGACTCCCAAACATAGTAAGTAAAGCAAATTCTTGATCCAGTAGGAAGCACCATCAAATGAACAAAACCCACAAAAAATTTTCATTTCGTTGAGCTTTTTTTTTTTTTTTTTTTTTTGGGCCTTCATTTCCTTAACATGGGGCTCTGAAAAATAAAATACTTTCTATTACACACTATGCATTACTTTTAATGTACTAAAACTATACCTTTATCATCAGGATCCGCCGCCCATCTGCCGGCAGTGTACTTAAAGGTACCTGCTTTTCCCTCGCTCCTTTTCCAATCTGATAACACCCATCGGCTCTTCCAACCATCTGCTTCACAAAACAAGGACAAAAAAAAAAAGGCTCATTATTACTAAACCCATTTCAACTAATCAACGTTAAAAGATAAAAGTAGAACAATTTCTGAATTCACCTACACAGGACCCACTTATGTTAGCAGCCGTTATAGGTAATAAACAAATAATCATCCTTTTTAAGCAATACAATTAGCACCCATTACAGACAAGATCAAACATATGCAGAAATCTAGAACCTTCTAGAGAAAGCAGAATCTATCCCGATGAGCTTCAACACATATAACTGAAATTTCGAGCTGAAGTTTTCTACTATTAATCCTTAAAACTAAATTAAATCAAGAACTGGCTCCTGAAGACCACTGGTTGACTAGACATTCTAGAACGTTCAATCTTCCAAGAAAAAGAAAAGCAAAGAAAATTCTTACATCTCGCAGGAAAAACTACAACAAAACAGAACAGAATCAACCGAAGGGTTTTTGATCTGTTTGATCACAGAGGAAGGGAGATGAAAGATTTGGTTTGTTACCTTCAAAGCGTTCTTCGAAGAAGATTTCGGAAGAAGCGAAATTAAAGAGGAAGAAGAATAACAGAGTAAAGTTGAGAGGAAGTAGAAGCCGCAGCTTCTTCCTCTGCTCTACCATTTCCGGCGACGACTTCATGCCTTCCGTTGCCAAAAACCGATCACAGGCAGTGAGATGTAGCCAAAGCTCTCATTTAAAGCAGTGATGGACGGCTGTGTAAGTGCGTATGCCTGACGGAAAAATAAAAATAATAACAATAAACATTAAATGTCATAATTACCCTTATTCGTCCCCATATTTTCATAAACGTCACTTGTAGTGGTCCAGCGGAGGCCTCCTCTAAATTTTTTTGGTTGGCATTTATGTAATTTCATAAAAAAGAATGGTGTTATGATGTGTAGTAAATAAATAAAACTATTTATAGCGAAATGGGTCATTTTCTTCGAAGTCTGAACTTTTCCAAAGGTCTTCCGAAAAAATCAAAGAAAATTTTATGCACCACGACACTGACGAAGACCTGATGTTGAAAGTCTTCGCAGCACCGTTCTTAACACGGCCACAAGTCGGATGAAGAAAAATTCTACTTCCCTGCTCATAGTCCAATCTTGTTTTACTGACCATCAATAGTCTTTAAATCAATTTTCGTATATTTTAACGCTAATTACTTTTCAACCTTTACAACCAATCTTAAAGACGCCCCAACTGGCATAAATAACGCATTAAAGACACTCCCAACATGGTGCATCAAAGCATATTGAACTTTCCTAGTCATACGGTTTTCATTTGTGTAGTAAAAAAACTGTAGAAAATAGGAGATAAAAGAAATCATGTTCTTCACATCAATCAAATGCCTTTCCTTTGATATGAATGACTGCTTTCCGTCTATACTTTAAACCCAATAGGATTTATGTACACATCAAATAAGTTCCTAGGTCCACTTGGTGGTTTAGGACTGTAGAATCTGAAAACCTGCAATTCCGCATTTCATGTAGATGATCAAACTCTATCGACTCACCTTTTCGCTTTTGTTTCATTTGTTCCTGTAGTTGGTGATGGTTGTGATCCACAACCTAGGGCAGCTGCCGCGGATTCAACATGAGTAAGAAGGTACTCATAAATTTTCTTTCGCAGCCTGTCAATGGTCTCTGCTGAAACCTGGGGCATCTCCTCTTCATCTTTGTTTGAACCTATTTTGTCTAACCAGTCATTAACACTCTTGAGCTGTGTCAGCATGCCTGCTATTTGGCCATTGTCTGATAAAGCTGATATGTCCACATCGGCATCCAGAAAATTCTCAACGAATCCCAGGAACCAATCCTGGGACTCCATTTGCAACATGTCAGCCAAGTCAAGAGCCTCATCAAGGCCACTTCCTTTGGTCCATTCAGGTGGAGGCTGAACTTGTGTCTTTTGACCAGTGCCTGAACCATCCCCTGGCTTTCGAAGAACTCCTTGTGCCACAAGCTTAGAGCCAACTACTGGGCGAGTTTTTCCTTGTGCTTTTGCTGAAGCATTCTTGGTGGAATTTTCTACGATCAAAATAGGTTGATTCCCAGGGAAAGTTTTCTGGCCTTGTGTAGAAGCTGAAGTATGACTCACAATAGAATTAACGTCTTTACTGAATACAGAGAAGGATGATAGATTGGTTGCCAATGCAGCCTGCACCCATGAGGATGCCTGTTTTTGTCTTTCTGATGTGATCCTTAATGCTTCTTCTGAGGGATTTCCTTCGTGATCGGGAGATTCACCAACTGGAATAGTTTTTGATAAAGAATCTGCAATATTACGAGCATTATCCAAGCTTGCTTGGAGGGCCAAGAACTGCTCTACTGCTGGTTGTGGGTTATCTTCCTTCGCAGAGGTAGTTAAATCAGAATAAATGCTGCAAGGAGGTTAACAATGCATATCAGATAAAAGCAAAGGCCGCAGCTATACAATTATCAGATGCACATAAAAGTGTGATCATGGGGAAACTATATAATGAGGAAATTACAAATAAATTCAGAAAAATGCATACATACATACACACATTGAGAAAGAAAATATCAGCCAATAAAACTACAACCTATAGATTTGCAAAACCAATCTGAAACAAGGCAACAATAATTGTTGTGCATGGATTTCAGGTCAAGCATGAAGTCATGAACCTATTATGGCCATGCATTCATACTATCCTAAGCCCAAGCTATCATGGCATTGAAACATTAAGCTAAGCAAGGCTCTAAAAAGATATACGTGATATCATGTAGATAGCACTTGGCACATTCTATGGAAGACCTAATGTTTGATCCATCCTACAAGGGTAATATGCAAAATTAAAAATTCCAAACCAGAAATGGACAAAAAATGAGAATAAAGAACTTAAGCAAATTCCCATAAAAGAAAAGAACTTAAGCCAATTAGTCATTCTTGATTTTGAAGGTAATATCAGCATTTCTACTTTGCCAATTTGCATTAAATTCTTATTAAATCAATACCTTAAACATCGAATTAAGCTCTCCGAAGCAGCTGCCTCTTGTAAAGCTTCAATTGCTGCTGTTTGCGCTGCATCTCTCTGTCTCATGACTTCCTGTAATAACAAACAAGAAAATAATAATAAGAAACAGAAAAGAAATTGAAACATTTCAATGGACCAGAATGGTGTCTAAACTATGTATTTGCTAAAAAAAGTTTCTTAGCAATGTATTACTGAGGATAAGATGAAATTATTACTAAGCAATATCAAACTAATGGATGTGACAGCCATGAACAATGTGGATGGTTAACCCACTAAATCAGTAAGGAGAAGAAATTATCACCCTATAATAAATGAAAAAGTAGAAAAAGCAAAATATCTCAATTGTCATTACTCCTTACGACCACAAAGAGAATTTGCAAACAGCAATAAAATTGCATTAGCCTCAAAAAATCTGTTGCATGATAACTTGCACTCATAACCTCAAAAAATCTTTTAGCTACATGCAAAGGAAGTTATCAAGAGCCAAGAAAGTAAGTACAGAGTTTTATACCTTTCCTAGCTTTGCAAGAGAAGAGGGAAGTGAACCCCATGAAACACTTCCTTCTGTCAATCTTTTACTGTTTACTGACACTTTGACCAAATTCCCTAGGGCTCCATTATTAGCTGCTTCTCCAGATGATTTTTTTCCAATAGAGATTCTTGGCTTAGTTGGCTTTTCTTGATCATCTGACCCTCCATTTGCAATGACTTTCTTAACCGATGCCTGAACTTTACCATCCCCCTTTGAGGACTTCGAAGATATCTGGAATTTATTCTCTTCTTTAGATGGCAGCCTTTCACTTGATGTGCTCTTTCGAGGGGTCTAGAAACCAAAATTTTAATTAAACAAAGAACATCCATTTCCACCCAAGAAATAGGAAGAGGAAGAAGAGCAGAAACAAGAAACAAGTTTGCTCAAAACGTTTTGGCACTTTTCTAAAATCAAGAGAAAACAATATGAGTTATTAAGATCCTTAAAATCACAATCCAACAATAAAATTATTTGATTGAATTATCCATCTATCTTCAGTATTTAAAGCCCTTGATAGACAAAATGAATAAATCCATTCTACCATTCTCATCTTTCAAAGGCTGTTATAAAATCTACAATAAAATCATGCACTTCCAGAAATTAAGATGAAAAAATTATTAATACTTACAGAAATACTCCGAGATTCAGACTTCAGTTCATGTTTGGTGCCCCTCATTTTAGAATTATCCCTAGTCTTAATTTCAATATTCCCTTCCCAACTCTTTCTCAAAGCCTTTGCTCCCAACTCAATCCCCTGAACCATAGTCTTGATGACCGGAACCTGTTTCCTGGGTGTACTTGCTCCATGAAGAGAAACTGCCTTTTCTGCTGATCCCACCTTGGGACTTCCCTTATCTAGCCCTTTAATCCTTGCCTGCTGCTTCATACCATTTGCAAACTTCTCAAAGGAAGTTGGCAATGAGTAACAACTTGTAGGAGAAGAAGGAATTGACCGCGAACCCTGTGAACTCTGTGACTTCACTTTCCCTGAAGACTCCTTCTTCACTTCCAAATTCAATCCCAGTCTTAATAACTGAGATTTTGATGAGTTTGATACAGTCAAAGATGGTTTTTTCTTATCTGTTTGATCCTCCTTAGCACTTGCATTGGATCTAACCCCCACCGGTTTCTCCTTCTCCCTACCATGACCATTCCCTATTCCTACATTTGAGACTGACTTTACCTTCTCCCCCGGCTTTGACCCTGAAGAACTACCATTACTACCATTACTGAGGAACCCAGGTGAGTGGGTTGCAACAAGATCCTCTGGAGTTCCAACGCAAGGGTGCCGGCCGGGGACTGGCCTAACCCCCCGGAGAATGGGGACCGGCGAACCAGACTCCAGCCGGTCAACGTGAATAAACTGACCTAACTGGATCTTATCACTGAGAATCAAATCATCATGTTCATCCGGTAAAGAAACATATGTGGCATGAGAGGAATCCGAAACCTTTAGGTAAAACCCTTGGTTAGGGAAAAGCTCACCTCCGGCTAATGCAGGGACTATGCTCACTACTTGCAACAGAGAAGACCTATGCTCGCCGGCGACCTTCACATCTGTGTTCATGTGTTGTAGAAGCTTGAGAAGCACCCCAGGAACAAGATTTGCCATTTTTGGTAGTCCCAATTCGCATCACTCTCAAAAAACAAACCCCAAGATTGTATAAAACTTCAAGATTTCATATGAAACTGTATGAATACAGGAAAAAAAAAAGGGGGTTTTTGATGAATATATCAGATTAAGAAAGGCTTTTCCTGAAAACCCAAGAATCAAGGATTGGGATTTGACAATACAAATGTATGCAAAGACAGGGTAGAAATCAGTTATCATAAAAAGGATTGATTTTTAGAGTATCAAAATGCATGAACAGGATTCAGATTAGTGGGGGTTTAACAGCTTTTTGGGTGCTAATAATGTTGTTAGGAGGAAACAACAAATTACAGATGAGAATTGATAAAAGAAGAAAACACAAGAATCATGCCCAGCTCAGAGATTGAAGTAAATGAGATGCATTCAATAAATGGCAGCAGCAACAAATAATAATGGCGAACAACTTAGGAGTAACAAGGGAAATGTTCTAAAAACTCACCAACCAGATGACAAAAGGAAAGGACTATAACTTGTAAATGGTAAATGTTTGATATTTTATGGGAATCCCCTCCCACATAATAAAAAAACCATTTCACTCCAAAACCCAAAACGGAAATGGAAGCTAGTGTTTTCAAAACATGACTGGCTGCAAGCTTGACACAGCTAAAAAGAGAAGAAGAAAACGCACAAAACTAAACCCACAAGAGTGAAAAAAATGCAAATCTTTTCTTGAAGAAGATAGGAGAAGGGCTAAGAAATAACAAGTCATGAGAGAGGAACGTGGGGTTGTGGATGTGGTGCTGAAAATTTTGCAGGAAACAGGCAAAGGTGAAAAAGAGAGAGAATAGATGCCAGGCCCATGGCCATTGCATCATTGTTTTAGAAGCATAGCACAAATTAGAGAGGAGGTAAAAAAAGCACAAATGATATGATTGATTAGTTAGTTTTACAACAAGTTCTACAATAGTGAGATAACATTAAATCTAAAAATATATGTCAATTCATGCCATCTCAACTCTCGTTGAATGAAATAATTTATAAAGGTTACTATAATATTTTATTGTAAATATGTATTACAACCATGTTCAAAAAAAAAATATGTATTACAACAAATATTTTTTATAAATCATTAAAAGAAAGAAAGAAAGAAATGTCAGCGTCTCACCAAAGAGACACATTACATTAAGAATCTGTGATGATTAATATCAACACTACATACACATGCACTCACAATGAATACAAAATATTGAATCTGACCCACTCTGGCTTTGATTGAGTTCCAAAGGTTGGGTAAATAAGAGAAAGACAGATCTTTTATAGAACCAATGAAAGTGCAAAAATTTACCCAAAAAGAATGAAAGTGCAAAAGGGTATCAAAGAGCCAGGACTTTTTACAGACACAAGAACTGGAAAGGAATCTTGACAGAGAACAGTAAATACCATATTTCCTTTGTTTTATTATTAAATTACTCAATAGGGTGGAGACTGGTGAGTGTGATTTTTGTTTTTTTTCTTGTTTGTTAAATTATTTTGGTAATATTCATTATTTTATTTATGGTTGGAAATGGTTGCATGTGCAGGGTAATGGGGACGGTAGGAACCAGGAGATGGCGTGTCGGCTATGTGAAAAGATGTCAAATCCACAAGACAATTGACGTTTGAGGAATGCTACCTAAGGAGTGCAGTTGAACTCGGCTCGACTGAGTGTTAATTTTTTTTTTTAACTATTTATAAACAGTAAGCATTCGGTCAATGCGGGTAACCTTCCTCTTGCAGTTTTTTTTTTTTTCTTAAATGTTCATTGTAAAATTATTTGTTCGAGTTATAAATATTTAAATATTTAAATTTATTTTAAAAATAATAATAAAAAGATTAAAATTCAAAATTAATGATGTAATCTAAATTATATTATTTAAAATATTAAAATATAAATTTTATATTATTTAATAATTAATTTTTTATATACATTAATTAATTTAATAATATGACTTATATTATGTCATTAATTCAAAATTATCAATTCATATCATTATTCTTTTTTGAATAATCTCTATTATTACACTTATTTGAAATTAATAAATATTAATTCAATTAAATTTTTGTTTGTACAAGTTTTTAACTACGTATATTTTAAAAAATTAGTTTTCCTTTGCGTTTATCCGCAAGTACGCTATTACAGTGTTGTCATAAATCAGGCACGTTATCAAAAAGGAATTTCTAATGGACCACCCTCTTTTTTCACATCTAATGGAGCGCCTCAAATGAAAATAACATCGAATTTGTTTGGTTCTAAAGAACTGCACGAGGAGAGGGAACATCATTTTGTTCAAATAAATATATTTGCAAACCAAATTAATACATTTCCAAGTCTAAAGTCAACTATAAAAGGATATGGAATTAATTTGCTCGCCAGGAGATTAAAGTGGAGTTTTTAAAAGGATTTGGATATTTTGGATGGCATGATTGAGGTGTCCAAATCAAAGCACAAGCTCAATTATGGTAATTGTAGTTATTGTTATTGTTTGTTGCATAATCAATTTGTTGCATAGCAAGGAAACAATCATAATATTGATTTCTCAATTTGTTAGTCTTTTCGATTCTTGTTGATAATGTTGTTTCTTCTTAGAGGAGACAAAGAACAAAAACATGGGGATTTGCCTTTCATAGTTGTTAGCTCAACAAATCATTTTTTAGAGGCTTTTCAAAAAAAAAAAATCATTTTTTGGAAAAGTAGTTAGCTCTAATCATGGCACAAATTAATGTGTAATTATATATCTAAACAGGAAAATGGAAGATGAAGACAAAAGGAGTCGCATGAGTTTGAAGTAAATATTGGGTAAAAGGGTATTTTGTGTCATAAATTTCAACTAATTTTAGATGAAGTGAATAATAATCTTTAATTATGTATATAATACATGAAATAATAAGCCATAAAATAAAAAATGATCATTTTTTTATGAACACCTTTATCTAAAATCTCAAATTTTTTCAATTTGACATCAAAAGCAAAGGCTATCAATCAATTTCCTAATTATAATTTTGTTTTGTATCAATTGATTACCCAATTATAATTTTGCTTGGAAAATTGTTCCCTAATAAGAACAAAGAATAAAGCAATTAGATTAAAAAGAAAAATAAAATGTCCTCCTACTAGCAAAGAAGTTGGAAACTTGGAATTATTAGATGCTTAAAGTTAACTAAAGATAAAGCAAATAAGCTTAGGGTTCCTGTTCCGCATTGATTAGCAACAAGTCTTCGAGCACAAGGGTCAATGCTAGACAAGACATCAACAAATACTATAATGCTAGCAAATCCAACCAAAAAAAATGAGATCTTGACATCAATTAGTTTTGGCCATATATTTTATAAAAATATGATTGATTGGTAATTTTTTAGTATAATTTTTTATATAATTTATATATCATTTAATTATTAATTTTTTTAATTATAATTTGTGATATTGTATGTTGTTTAATTATTAATTCTTTTCATTCTATCAAAATATGTGATATTATATGTATTAATTCATTTAATAAAATATAAAAATTACATAAAAAATTATACAAAAAAACTATCCCCATATCATGATCATTTTTATATT